TCATTGCACTGCAGTGCCCATACTTATCCAAGCAATAGGGCCAGGAAGCACCACTCGGATCGCTTTCTGAAGGACGATGGCTCCCAGGAGTGGTGACGCAGTAATTCGCACAATGTGCTATGAATCTAATGTATTGAGTTCTATTCCTGGTCCCAGCTAACATCAGTAGCGAGTGATATCTGGACCAGTCCCTGGCCATCCGTTCACCAACCAGCATTGACGAGCGTGGTGAATTTTGGTCAAACAATCCCTCATGGCCAACACGGCATGTGGTGGCCGACAACTAGCAGTGGATTTACAATGGTCTGTAAAAAAAAAACTCTTCCTCAAGGCCACAACAAGATGCATCGTTTTCTACCCGTAATCCATCTGAGTGAGATTATTTCCATCTGCAGCGTGAGTTTTTGATGTTGTCTCTCCCCGCTTTACTCCTGTGAACGAAAGTGACCAGGCAGGCCTGTTTAGCATTCAGGAGATAGCGTCAGTCCAGCAAAGTAACTGTAAATTATAACACAGTAAAGTCTGTGCTGGCCCATTACCAAGCTTAGCCTTTGTTTTGTGGTGCTTACTTTTGATTTAGGGATGCTACAAATATAAGCTCTTTGAAATTCAAAGAAACTTCAGGGACTGCATTGGCAGTGGTGCACAAGCACATGCCGAAAGATTTATTTAAACACCCGCCCAGAGACTATACGTGTTTTAAGTGGCAAAAGGCACGATGCCATAGTCAGAATATAAGCGTCTCTCTGCTCAAATAAGTGCGGGGTGGTGATAATCTAAATTGGCAGGATTTAGTCCAGTGGTTGAAATTCTGCATTCCTATGATAGAGGCCAGGCTACACACAGGACAACGATTGTAACATATACATAAACCTCGGTACAAAAATGTGAGTTAAAGCATAATTTATTTTAACATTGTCAAAGTTTATTAGGATATGCATTTTCATTGGCAGAACAAAAGTTGCGTAGTATACCGTAACCACATTAGATCACAATAATAGAAATTGCAGATGAGGGGGTGGTGCAGTGATTGGTGCACGACACTAAGAACCCAGCTATCTGAGTTGGATTCCCAGCAGGGCTACAATCAGTGGTTGAGAGATATCTGAACCAGTCTTGGACATCCCCTCTTTACTAATCCGCAGTGATCGGCGTGGTGAAGTGCAGTCAAACAACCAAATTGCCAGCTTGTGGGTAGGCCTTCATCCAGTAGGGCACTGATAAAGGGCTCTAAATTATGTGCACTTTACTTTTACTCAGTTACTCACAGTATGAATACGCATCCATCAGTCTACGACGTTCATTACCGTAGAGTTGAGTGAGTCTATATGCAACCACATCATAACCACATCATATAATTAGCAATAAGTGAAACCCTACAGACAAACGTAATAACCTGTAAAGTTTTTCATAACACAATTATAATAATTCAATTCAATTTCATATTATTAAAGCAATAACAAAAACAACCGCCATTCGCCACTAAGTGGCGGTGACATCACGACGCTTGGGCCAGGCTATGTTCACGTTGAGGCCACGTGAAGTGTCAAACACCCACTGGCAGGTCACGGGGTAGACCCAGGTGCCACGGGTTGACTGACTGAGACGACTGGCTGATGCACCACCTGTGCCCTCTACTGTGCCAACTTGCTGTGCTTTAGCCACCCGGCGCTCCGCTCGTTGTTGTGATCGTCGCTCCTCCGCCCTCCGTTGTGGAGGGTGACTGCCTCCAACTGCACAGTAGTGTCATTCACAGAGACCGATTTTGACACCGCTCGTACCAGTCATCGGCAAGTCCAATCAGATCCACGTCCTCCTATACCACATCACTCCATCTCCTCTCTCGCCCGTGCTGCGCCCGTTTAGCTCCCTCGATCCGGCCGAACAAAAGCTGTTTCGGCATGCGGTGGCTGGGCATGCGGGCTACATGACCCAGCCAACGCAGCCTTGCCTGCAGGAGGGCCTCACCGATGAGACTTTGTCCAGATCTTTCAAGGATTTGTGAGCTCCTCACACAATCCAGCCTGGTTAAACCCAGGATGGATCGTAGGCAAGCCAGCCTAAATGTTTCTAACCGGCAAAGATGTTCCATTAGGGGGTTCCACGTTTCGCAAGCGTAGAGAAGGGATGGAATGACTGTGGCCGAGAAGACCTGAAGCTTCGTGCGGAGCAACAGACCAGGTCGCTTCCACACAGCGTTACGCAACCGATGAAAGTATAATGCCGCTCGACTGATTCGGAATGAGACCTCTGCTGTCAAACCACAGCCGGTCATGAGCACACTGCCCAGGTAGGGAAAACTCTCCACTCTCTCCACAACTGCACTATCACCAATTTCGAATTATGGGGGTGGAGTGTCCGATGGTACAAAATACCCAGGCAGGTGCTTAGTTTTGGTGGGGCTGATGATAAGACCCCACCTCTTAGTGGCAAGCTCCAGGTTCAGCAGCAGCGCCTCCAACTCCTCCTCTGAGTGAGCAGCGATTGCCAGATTATCGGCATACATAACGTGGTTGAGCAATAGGGAGCCATCCCTTGACCGCCTCCGGGTATCGATCAGCCTCCCATTGTATCTGTACCAGATGGAAATTCCTCCGGAACAGCTATTGAAGGCGTCACAAACTACGTGGTCGAAATAGATGTTAAATAATGTGGGAGCCAGAGGACATCCTTGTCGCACCCCTAGGTAAACAGGGAATGGCTCCGACTCCCGGCCACGTAGTTTTACCCAGGCCCGCTCACCATCATGAAGGTCCTTAATGATCGTGAGCAGAGGGTCAGGGACTCCGAAAGTACGAAGAACAACCCAGAGCTCAGGCCTACTGATGGTATCATAGGTCTTGACCAGGTCAATAAAGCAGAAATGTAGGTCTTGTTGGAATTCCCTACACCTCTGCTGTAGCAGACGGACAGAAAATATGACATCTGTGCAGGACCACCATTTCCCGAAACCGCATTGGGGCTCCGCAAGCCTCTCCACAGCGTGCCTGGCAAGGCCATGTTGAATAATCCTTGCCAGGACCTTTCCCGGTACACTGAGGAGTGAGATGCCCCTGCGAATGTTTGCTTATTAAAGCTTATTAAAGCAAACACATTCGCACGGCTAGCTGTAATTAGGCCAATTGATGCAATTTTTTTAAATTTCATACTGGGCATTAAGCATTAATACCCATGTTGAGGACTGTCTACCTGACTGTTTTGTCTCATCCATCCATACTGCGTTCAGACACCATCGTGCAGGTCAACGAACATTTGCTTTTCTGTTACTTTCCTCTCAAAGCTCCACTTTGGAATTCCCTCCCATCGTTGCTTTTCTCAAGTCCTTATCACCTTGCTCCGTTCTAGAAATATCACAATTACCGTATCTATTACAAGTGTAACAGTGCTGTTTGTTGCTGCCCGCTTGGCGTTTTGAACTTTGGGTTTTGAAGTCAATCAACTCTGTCATAAAATGCCAATGGTGTTTGTTTTTCAAAGGTTTGTCTTCAAGAAGGCACATTGCAACATTCAATCAACTACAAATGAAATTCATTCGTTTTTATGAAGACCAGCTGGTGAACATTTATTTTCATTTTTTTCTTTATGGTCTCTATTAAACTTTCATAGTGCTTGGCATTTTGGGCCTTTGCTCAGCAACCGCGATTTAAAGGGGAAAAAAGACACCCTACTCGTACAAAGCTGGCTTCACACAATGCTGCTTTGCTTGTAAGGGCACTTTATGGCCAGGGCATCCAACAAAAACAGCGGCAGTGCGGAAACACCTTTCCCTGTGTAGGCAGGGTGGCCCCTTGGGGTTCCGAGCGATCGGGATGTTCACACCCATGGGCGACCCGCACAGACCCCAGTGTTCACGCCAGCCCCATTGCCCCACGCCCGGATGGGATGCCCTCCCCGGATACAGGGATCATGCCTTTCACACACGACGTCGGTTTTCGTCGTTGTGCTGTGTAGCTCTCGGATGTGTGAAGGATTTGCCACTTTCTTTCCGTGGCCCAAAACCCTGACATTTCTCTGAAAAGCGATGGTATATCAAAACTCTAATCAAAACCAACAACACAATATCACCACATATCGGTACAAATCAATTCCTGCCACAAGAAACACAGATGCCAATTCCCTGTCTGGGTCAAACCCCAGCGGATTGGCAATCCTAAATGTCCTAAATTCGGGTTGTACTGCGTGTTGTTCGGCATGATGTCCGATGTTTCGCTCCACGTGCTGGGAGCTTCTTCAGGAACTGAATGCAACATCTCACGCTTGGAAAGCCCTCGATTCACGCGACTGTGACTGGCTGTGGAGATGGCTCTGGGAGTCTGTGGCTTTCACAGAATCCAGGGCCACACGGACACGGGCTGTCGCATTAAAGCAGTCTCCATTAAAAGTGAGTTATGGGCCATTGTAGTGTAATGTTCCAGAAAGTGAATTTATGGAAATGGCAGGTTGCTGTGTTTAATGGTGCCGACGTGATAAACACCGTCTTTGCTGCTCTGTAATTCATTGTAACCGTGCAGCTCCATCTAGTGTTCCATACACGAGTAGCGTTAGCTGTTGTGCATAAAAGTACGTAAACCATAGTTAGCTGTATTTAATGTAACGGCAGGTGGGTGCTTAGGTGTATAGACGGCGATTGTTGCGATTTTGCCATGTCTGGGTGGCGTTACGACCCTGTGCTACGCCTGCCAAAGAATCTCGTTTATGGTCACTGGCAACCTCAAACGCCAGATGGGAAGCGTGAAGAAGCCACCTGTCTTTCACCCAGCACATTCTCTTTCTGAAAATGCCAAACCTGCACTCTACTCAATGCCTTTCATTGGCCAATAAAACTCAAGGGACCTTATCAAATTGCACATCACATAGTGTGTTCACCCATTAAAAAAACTGTACATATAACAATTGTGTATGTTCTGGGTAGCCTAAATGAACCACTCAATTTAAAAGATGGATTTTCACAAGCCAAAATGTGTAAAAGATAAATCTTCCCCATTTAACACAAACAAGCGTAAGCAGACATTTTTTATTGTTAAAAATCAGTTTATGCCATACAATTGTTTTAATCACCATTAAAGAAATCAATTTTATGTTTTCATGGGAAACACAAAACATATCTGCCAACTTGTACAAATATTAAGAGCGTATAGTTTTTTATTGAAAACAGAATGAAAAAGCTATTTCTCTTAAACTAAAACAAGTGCTAAATTGTCAATCAGCATGTGCTCATGCACCAACCTTATACATTCCATTTACACATCAGCAGATACATTTGAATCTGGAGATATTCTTATCAACTAAATAAGTCAACATGTAGCAAAAGTTTCATTTTAATTATGTATTCCTTTCACAAAATAGAACCAACAATTTAACTATATCAAGTACTTAATACAATACTGTGATTTCATGCAAAATATGAATGAATGCTCAAGTATTTTATAAATTCCACATTCGGTGGTTACACGATGAGTAGTGTGTGTAAGAGGCAATGTTATTCCTGTCAAGTTGTAAAATATCCTAATCACTTTGATCTTGTGCATAAACAATTCTCGCACGTAGAATTGTATTTCACGTACCACATCACAAAGATTGGCAACCAAGAATTAGGACTTCAAACTGCCTGCTTAAGCAACTACATGCACGGTACTATAATTCTAGTTACATGACAAAATTTTGGTTCAATATGTATGCAGTCTGTGATAAAAATTCCATCTTTTTTTTCCCATAGATGCTCATTTCTGGACCCTAAGTTAATGGCACATACCGTCCTCTACAGGGCAGCTTATTAGTTTCCACTTTCCCTTGAGCCATGGTGTTGCAACTCAGTGAAGCATAGGGCATTGCGCACATGGCATTTGTATTAATGGTCACTGAACACAATCAAAACTCAGACGTTTAAATCCCTCCTGCATAGGAGATAAAATCAGAAATTCCAGTGCAAGCATTTCACTTTAGCTTACCAAGCTGATCCACTATTTTTAATGTCAAGTGTAAAGTTTGACACGATACAACCTGACGTGAGAAAATTGTATTTGAAATTAAATTTTTTTTAATTTGTAATACTTTGCACAACGTTGTAGTGATTGCAAATTAAATGTACTGTATAATCAACTGTCAATCAAATTATCTCCACTGTTAAAGCAAACTGTGAAATGACTTAAGGCACAATGTGACATGCCCACGTTATTTTCCAAAACTGTTACTGCACAAAAGGCGGGTTTTTAAAACTAACAAGGGATCTGAACTACGTCGAAGCTTGACCTTTCAATGTGTTTTCAGAAACACTGAAGTTGCTTTATCCAGAGACGGGATGTTGGATTAGCAGCTCTCCAATGATGTCACTTACATTCAACAATGTTCAAACTCATTCATGCTATAATTCTGTAGAGTATAATAGCTAATACTTATAGGCGTTTGCTCACATTATAGCTAAATTTTACAATGGTAATGCTATGGATGCATATAACGTTTATGATCTTATAACTTGATTGTACATGTGTAATAGTAAGTATGGTCGAATAACCCAATATGCGATTTTCAATATCAGTAAAGGTCGCCAATTATCTTGGACAAGTCTTCAGGTTATCGTAGAATTAATTCGCTTGTGTCATTGCTGACAATTAATATTTTATTTTAAAGTCAGTATTATTCAATGTTATATTAAAAAATATTGTAGAATCTTCATTTAGTATTATATTAAATGCATAAATTAACGTGCACGATTTGAATAAAAATGTATGCTTGCTGATAATTGGTTTTTTACCCTTCTATCTGGCAACAAAACTGACACCTTTTTACAAGGAGTCATGTTTGCATAGACCGCAATACCTGCAGTCATAATACAAACAAAAGACATAACTCTGATAATGTGCAGCTGTCTCGGGTGTGGACCAATCAACTTCAAGGACAGTGCACATTAGAGTTATGTCTTTTGTTTGTATTATGACTGCAGGTATTGCGGTCTATGCAAACATGACTCCTTGTAAAAAGGTGTCAGTTTTGTTGCCAGATAGAAGGGTAAAAAACCAATTGTCATATTTTTACTGGCAAATGAGGTTCCCATAGTGTATGCTTGCTCTATAGGCATATCCTGTAACTTCAAACATTACCACTGGTTTGTTATTACTCTCCTTAAACATGTGAACAAATCTTTCAAAATGCTTCAGATCATATTTTAGAGCTCAGGAAGGTTGAGGCTGGATATTGTTTGGGTGGGTGCATGGAAAACTTCACTGTTGTACTGTACTACTGTGCTTCCACATTTATGCTATGCATCTTCAACTCACACTGACCAGCATGGGCAGACCCACATTGAGCAGAGGATTGAAAAAGGCAATGTATATGTGAGATGTGAAACATCGTGCAGACGTGACAAGAGCTATGCACAGCTGCAGTGGCTATTCCGCACGATTGAAATCGCCTCGCTGGCCACCAGTCTTCGAGAGCAGCTTGATCTCGCCGATGACAATGTCATGCGTCACTGCCTTGCACATGTCATAAACGGTGAGGGCTGCCACACTGACCGCCACCAGTGCCTCCATCTCCACGCCCGTCTGCCCCACCGTGCGGCACTGCGCCGTGACAATCACCGCGTGACTTTCGGCGTCAAGCTCCAAACGAACGTCCACCGAGCTCAGCGGTAAGACGTGGCACAGCGGAATGATCTCGCCAGTGCGCTTGGCAGCCATAATCCCGGCCAGCTGGGCCACAGTCAGCGCGTCGCCCTTCTTCAGCCTGTTCTGTCGCACCAGCTCGAAGGCTACGTCTCCCAGTGAGACCCGTGCCTGAGCGATGGCCGTGCGTTGGGTCTCCGGCTTGTGCGTTACATCAACCATCTTTGCTCGGCCTGCTGCGTCGGTGTGAGTGAGCTGCGGGCGTACGTTGTCTGCGGATCGTGGTGCGTCCTGGGGGGTGTCCGTTGCCGACTGCTCTTGTCGTAAGAGCTCCGACGGCTCACTGACACCGGCATTGCTCGCACCACAGGGGCCATCTCTACCAGTAGTGTCGCTACATGCAAACCGCAGCTGTAAAGTCCCATGTGGCCACATCCCTGGCTTAAAGTGAGCTTCATTAAGGCCGAACTTAGTAGTGCGTTTGTTTGTGTCATAACTGACTGATAGCAGTTTTGTAGAAAAAGTGCTTTTGGAAAAAAAATCACTGGTTTGTGGCTGTTGGTTAAAACCATGTCTGTTCATGGTGATAGCATTGCAATTATTTGTAAACATTTTTGCGGGATCACAGTGACAAACATAATTATAATTAATTCCTGATAAGGCAAGTTGACCATTTATTGGATTAACAGTGAAGCCTTCTCTCTGCCCTTGATTTTTCAGAGCTTTGAGATGTTTCGGAAAACACTTTATCCCATTAGATTCCTTGACACTCGTCGATGTTCCAGCTGTAAAGGAATATGTCATGTTGGTCAGTCACAACATATGCTCACCTTTTAAACATGACAAAGCACAAAGCAAACCGAAGATAAATTGTGCTGTCAACGTGCGTGTACGTACATGATCACCCACCAATGAGGATCATGGGCCTGTTCTTCATCTGTGCAATATTGAACATCCCTGAAATGTTTTTTTTCCAACAACACATCCGGGAAACAAAGTCAATACAAGTGACGATGCCAACGTGGAACTTCTTTACAGTTGTGACCTTGTGGCATGACAGAATTTACAGCCATGCCCAAATAGCCTCATGAAGTGCATTGCCATAAATGACATGTAAACCTTGGAACTATACAATATTGTGACAACCTGCAGCATCCTACAGGCAACATGTGATGTATCCTGTATTTCAGCGTACCCGCATGCTGCTTCTTTTTCCTTCCCACAGCGAGAGCAACTAATGACTTCATTTCTTCCTCGGAAGCACCTGATCGCAACGCATCTCTCAAAGACACCTCCGCATTGCCAAACAGGCAAACCTGAAATGCATCAACATTTACAGCAGGTAAGAGGTACAGTTTTTATCGACTGCAAGACTTTCCAAGATATATTTCATCATGAATGTAAAAAGGGATAAATGGTTTTATCAGTTTAGATTTTTCTTTTATTGCAGGAAAAAATCCAGAGATTAATATTGTTCGTGTAAAAATATGATTTATAATTCGAGGAAATACTTTACATATAACCAACAGTGGCACGGAGGTAACAATAAACATAACATGGGGGTGCCTTTACCTTGAGATTCCCATCTGCAGTGATTCGGAGCCTGTTGCAGGAGCCGCAGAAGTGCTCAGACATCGATGTAATGAAGCCAAGCTGACCCTGATACCCAGGGACTTTGTATGCCTGTGAAACACAATGAAAGTTTGTTAGGTTTTTAACTTGTTAAAATGGAGTCGCCTATTTCAGGTCACGAAAAACATAAAGATATAATGCAGATTCTTTTTTCATATTTAAGCATTTGTGATATTTATCAAAGCTTGTGCATTTACAAACTTCACATATATTACCTTGGAAGTGTCATTGGGTTGATTGGAGAGCTTTGCAAGTGTAGGATAAGTTTGTTTTATTGTATCCAGCATTTCCTGGTAGCTAACCATCTTCTTAAAGTTCCATTTGTTGCCTAAAAGATGTAATATAAAATGACCCATTAAAGATTTACTTGAATACAATCACTTATGCTATACCTTCATAATATATACCCATACACATGTTAATTACAGTCAATGCCATGACTTCACAGTTGACATTTTATAGATGTTTTTTTTTATGGAAACAAAAAAATAACTAGGTTAAATATCAGAATTTATTAGCATGAACTTTCCATGCAAAATTATAGCCAGCCAACTGCTCAACAATTTTAACTTTGACAGCCAAAGGTGGCTCAGCATAGACTGATAACATTCTGCAATAATGTAAATAATATGATGGACTTATCCATACCATCAAAAGGCATGTACTCGATGAATCGCACATCCAAGGGCATCTTCTCCGTCAGTGCCACAAAATCCACCAACTCATCCTCATTCAGCCCCCGCATGACTACACAATTCACCTGTGGGCCCAAACACACACATCACATTACCACTGGACAACAATCATATAATTAACTTAAAATCGTTATCTTTACACTTGCGCAATTGGAACAACTTAGGTGCTGGCAGTAAGCAAAACTAATTAGAAAATATAAAGGCCACGTGGCAATACATTTAATAACAAGAGCCATATTCGTAATGGCATTTGGGATTATATTTTTATCTATATTAATCAAACTGCATTTGCTCCAGCTCAAACACCACTCTGTTCGAGTTAATACTTCTGCAGGCTTTAGATAACTCCTGACAGTTTTTAAATATTTTTTTAATTGCCAACCCCTTTTGGTAGAGCAATCATCTCAGTAACTACAGCACAGTTAAACAATCTAACTTCCAGTGTCATGTGCGCTTACTTTTACAGGACTGTATCCCAAATCAATGGCCTTGTGTATTCCCTCCATGACTTTATTCCACCCTGAATAAGATAACAACACAAGCATAAAAACAAAGGTCAACCAAATCTACGTGAGAAGAAGCTATGCAATTCGTAGAATATGAATTTTAAATAACGAACTCGAATTAACCAACTTGGAGAAGCATGGTCAAATAACCCCTGCAACTTGCAAGTGGATTGACAAATTTTCACCAACCCATTAAAATGTTTAATTGTAATCGGCTTTTGTCAGAGGGAACTTATTATTTAACACTGAATTACATTTGTGCAATATTTTAAATTTATCATGTGACACATTAATCTTTGATCTGATTTCAATCTGCTTCATTGCTGTACTTTATGTAATTTGATTAGATTTTATAAATTTGGTGACCCAGGTCACACTCTGCAAATGAGACTATCCCGTTCTCTTGACTTCTCACCGAGTTAAACAAAAAATATTTTAAATTTAAAAGATTACCTTTCCTGCGAGCAATGAACTCGAACTTGGCAGGCACGAGTGTGTCGAGGCTCACGTTGAGCAAGTTGAGGCGTGTGAGCTTCAGGGACGGCAGCAGCCGAGGCAGATTTACCCCATTGGTGGTCAGTGCAAGCGTGTCGAGCCCCGTCAGCTTAGACAGCTCCCCTGCAAGCATGGGACATACCCTTTACACATTGGCCATTCTGGTTGTTGGAAAGAACACATTTAGCAAAGCCACACCAATTCATTAATTCATTCATTTAATTTCATGTCCATCATACCAACTTAGATCAATGACGACCATGTTGTTGAAACTGCCTCATGTGAATGTGCCGTGCAGCACCAAAACCTACCCATGAGTGGCACTGCGTCAGGCCGGATGAGTGGCTCTCCGCCCGTCAGGCGTATCTTGTTGACACCTGCGTCGACGAAGAGACGCGCGAGCGAGATGATCTCTTCGGAGGTGAGAAGCTGGGGCCGGCTGGTGAGCCGCACACCCTCCTCTGGCATACAGTACTGGCCTGCGGGCACAGCGCAACGCAATGTGGAGTCGTGCATACCAACGTACATCTGCCTTGTCTGTATGGATAGATATGTACTGGAAGAACATACCTCTAACATACCTCAAAGCCAAACGAATGTTTGGCTTTGGAGGTATGTAATTAGTAATATGCAAGCCAACGACTTGTTGTTAGGGCAGAATGTTTAACAAGTAGGGCAAAATGTGTTTGCATATATGCAAATATTCAGTTTTGCTCTGGGTTGTGCCCTAGTTTTGTGGAATCCTCTGATCAATTTCAAAAGGATAACTCTATTTAATAGCAACACAAATTTATACCACAAATTTGTTCACAGTGGATCATCTTTACAAGTCATAGTCCCATTCTACACTTCTCTCCCCCCCCCCCCCCCGTTAAAATTACACATTAACTTTTAACGGTTCTCAACCAACCTTTAAATTATAACAGTTTTCAGCATGGACGTGCGTTGACTTACAGCGGAGGTTGCACTTCTCGGTGATGGAGATCCGCAGGTACGTGTGGTGTCTCCCAAAACCATCGGTCAGAACATCTGAGGCTGGAAGCAATTTTTCTTTAGCTACACCTGGTGGCTTCACCTACACAAACATTTACAAACGATTACATGCAATGCAATACATACAGCCGAAATAATTTCTTGTAGAAAATGACTTAACTGCCACTGCTAAATAAATTATGCTCAGAAACCAAATAAATACATTTCATTTTGCGTGAATAATCAGTCAAACATATTTTAAACAAGGACACTTTTGTCAGCTATGAACATAATTCAGTAAAAAACACCACCAAAACAGCTGATTTTAGCCATCACTTGTTTTTTAGTTGAGTCGTTTTACCTCAAAAGTTGTTACATTTAAGGAAACGTTCTGTTATGTCACATGGCCCCATCTAAACGTAATGATTTACAAAACGCCATATTGGCACTTCACCTCATCACTAGAGACAAATCGTTATCGCCTTGGCAGTGAGCAATTATTGCACAAGAGCAATGTAGTAAAGAGCCTTGAATGTAACACGAAAAGGGGTAGTAAACATGCAACTCAGCTGGTATTTACAACCCACAGAGAAAGTCAGCGGCCGATGTGCAAATACTCAGAGCTGCCTTACAATACTAACCACGCGTGTACTCCCAAAACTTCGCACGGATCTCTCTCTGCTGCCCAGAACATTTTTTAATAACGCACAACCCAACATCGGTAAACTCTGTAGGTAACATTGTCACGCAACGGCAACACAACCACAACTGGCGAAAACTGCACAAAACCATTCGTAAATGTCCACACAGGTCATGTGGGGCACGCACGGCTTCCATCCTTTGATAAACAATTCCAGCAGAGCCAAAGTCCCCATCAGTTACACTGTTATGCCAACAAGCTACGCGGCACCATTGGGAATTTACTGGTATCCATCAAATGCTGTTCTGAGTTATTTATTTGCTTTTGTGTTCAAATGCTGGGTTGTCTATTCAAGTAAACAGTGTTTGGAAAATCATCAGGTTGGAGTTAAAAACATAGTGCACCATGTAAACAAAAAAACACTTGAGATCACACTACTAATTATTATTGTTTATACAAATGCATCTAGAATGTGCTGAATGAGAAAAAATGTATATGTAGTCGTGTTATTCTTATAAGCGATGTATCCATTAACTGGGCACCCAGTGATAAAACACAACAGCCGCAGTTCACCGAGCATGACATGTTACATTACTTTACACAAATTAATCTTGATTATCCACTGTGAAATGCCTTCATATATGAATATAGCGTTTAATGTATAACATTTATCATTACAGCCACGAACGCATTGAAGTAGCAGTACTATGAGTCGTCGACATGTAAATCACACTTTCAATGCAGTTAGTCACGGTGCCAAGAGACATGACCTCTACGTTCAGAGGAGAGGTCATTGAGAAGGGATCAAACAAAACCCACGACGTAAACAATGATGACCACGTAAGCGGTTAGAACCACTGCTGGACACTGGTGAAGTAGGCCCATAGGCTGTCAGACTGTGTTGGGGGTGGGGGAGGAACTTGTGGGTGGCTGGAGACACGAGGTACAACCAGCATGGGTGACCCACCGTGCACAAATCGTGTTCAGTTTCATTTATTTGGTATAGCCCTGTGAGCCATTCGGCTCTTGAATCGGGTGCAACCGCAACAAACAAAAAAACATGAACAAGAAAACATCTTAAAGTGACTATGTGACTATGCACAAACAGAAAAATCCAGGAAAAAACTGCAAAGTCTTCCAGAAAAAAAGCACCGTCCACCAACGCTGTGCAAAAAATCCCAGTGGGATGCAAGTCAAACAACAACCACAAGACAACTTAGATGAAAGCTAGCAGGTACTCTGTTTATATCGGTAAAGTCACGTAGGTATAAAATAAAATCTAAATAAATCACGACATTTCGATTGCAACACAAGCAATCATCATCAGGTGGAAAAAGCCACAGCAAGAACATTTTTTTGCTGTGGTTTTCCCACCTGATGATGATGATTGCTTGTGTTGCAATCGAAACGTCGTGTTATGACGAGCTTTTCCGTTGTGGGCATCGTAGGGCGTTGCAAATGCGTTGGTTACTCTACGACACCACCACGTCTACACACCCCCAGTATTTCACCAATCCGCATTGGCCCAATGACCCCAAGAGACCCCGCACTTTGCGTCGTGGTCGTGGTGTTTAATAACGCAGCAGTGGATCTCCAACAAGTGTCGACCCCTACTGGCCGACATCTGTGAGAAGGGTGGGGGGGAAAGAGCTTTAGAGCGGTCACCTGATGAAGCCAGTACTAATACCTGGCGAAACGTCGTACTCGGATTGTAAATGTTGGGGCTTGGCTCTCCTACACACCGGTGTTGCTGTACGAATAACGCATTGGCCACGTTCTGTTTACGTGACAAACCTTAATAATTGGCTGTGTCAGGTGGTGGTGGGTTTAACGACACAACATGTATATAAATACGTGATCTAACCCCATAGATGAGCTTTACAACTCATCAGATTCCTCCGGTAAACAACAAAAATAAATTTACACCATTGGAACCTCATTTGTCAGTAACAAAATATGATAATAGTTTTTTTACCCTTTTATCTGGCAACAAAACTGACACCTTTTTTACAAGGAGTCATGTTTGCATAGACCACAATACCTGCAGTCGGAATGCAAACAAAAAACATAACTCTGATAATGTATGCGCCTTTTGGCGTCATCTGGTCCAAACGCCATGTGAGACTAGGCTCTAAAGAAATCTATTCTAGATTTGAAGCTTTCGTGACTGCAAGGATTCATATTTTTAGGTTTTTTCGGTAAAGTCACCAGGTAGGTAAAATATCAAAATTAATGAAAATAAAATAAAACTAAAATCACGACGCAGAAACGTAGTGATTTATGTTTTATTTTCATTAATTTTGATGTTTTACCTCCGTGACTTTACCGAAAAAACCTAAGAATATCTAAACAAATCTGTCTCGGGTGTAAACCAATCAACTTCAAGGCCAGTGCACGTACATCATCAGAGTTGTGTATTTTTCGTTTGAGATTCCGACCGCACGTATTGTGCTCAATGCAAACATGACTCCTTGTAAAAAAAAAAAGCTGTCAGTTTTGTTGCCAGATAAAAGGGTAAAAAAAAAACAATTAACAAAAGTAAAGATTTTGTTTCCAATTCCGCGCCTCGTGGTGTCCCCTGGGCCCCCCCCTGCCACTCACCTCGCCCTGCGGCCGCGGCTCGGGGGGGGCCCCGCACAGACCGCGGCGCCACAGGCCCCGCACCGCGGCCCCGCTCCTCCAGGCCATGGACCCCAAACCTCGTCTCTACTCCTCCTCCTCCTCCTCTCCTTGTCCTCTTCCTCCTCCTCGTCTTCTTCGTCGTCTTCTTCCTTGCCTGCCTGGCCTCCTCCTCCTACTCCTACCTCGCTCTTCACTCGCAAAACTCTCCTCCACTCGGCGACCCACTCTGCCCTCTCTCTAATCACTGAAACCCTCACTCGGCTCCACTCATCATCATCATCATCTGCCCTCGCTAGCAACCTCCTCCTCTCCCCTCTCGTCCACCACCTTTCCTCGTCGAGATGTCACTCTCCAAGGCCCCAAACTCTCCTCCTCCTCTCTCTCTATCTCTCCCTCCTCGCACGTCTCCTCTGGTCCCGTCTCTCTCTCTCTCGACACTCTACTCAATATTCCGTCTATTCTACTCGCTCAGATCCACGTTATCCTCTTCACTTCTCTCTCCTTGTGCCCCCCCCCACTTCCATTCTGTCCCCTCTTCACTCTCCCTTGTCTCCCCTATTCACTCTCACTCTCTCTCTTCGCTCTCCCCTCTTCGCTCTCTCCGCGGGCCTCTTCCACGAGTCGAGGTGGGCGGGGCGGTTCGGGGTGGGCGGGGCAATCGAAGTGGGCGGGGCGAACGAGGTGGGCGGGGCGATCGAGGGACCGCGGTGAACAGCGCCTGTCACCTCCCGTCGCCTCCACCAATTCACACACCACAGAGAGACCGTGCCAAGCGCGACGTTGCAAGGTGACCGGCAGATTCGCCCGCTGAGGGTTGTTTTTCTTTGTCATCGCTCGAGATGGACGACGGCGACTTGCCCGCCCGTGTGGCCGCGGCGCGTCTCGGTGCGATCGCTGGGAGCCGCTGCGAGACGAATCCGCGATAATTGGAGACTTTTACCGCGGAAATTACGCGTACGCGTTTTGACGCCGTGTGTGCAACTTGCCTTCGAATCGCCTTAAGCCGTTAACAAGTTCCGTGAAATCGTGTTTAAAAAATCGGAACGTGTTTCTGTTTGATTTAGAGGTAATACCTCTGATCTGGCAAGGAAAAAAAAACAATAACGTTGGCGGCTTTGACAAATGTCCGCGGACTCTAAAGTCAGCGCGTGCTTCCAGCGAAGGGAGACGGGTCGGTGCCGGGTTCCTCCTGCACAGACTCATCAGCAGTGACGAGCCCTGCTCCAGTGAGTTCCTCCATCACACACTCATCAGCAGTGACGAGCACTGCACCAGTGAGTTTCCCCATCACACAGACTCATCAGCAGCGACGAGCACTGCACCAGTGAGTTCCTCCATCACACAGACTCATCAGCAGTGACGAGCACTGCACCAGCGAGTTTCCCCATCACACAGACTCATCAGCAGTGACCAGCACTGCTCCAGTGAGTTTCTCCATCACACAGACTCATCAGCAGTGACGAGCACTGCACCACTGAGTTCCTCCATCACACAGACTCATCAGCAGTGACGAGCACTGCACCACTGAGTTCCTCCATCACACAGACTCATCAGCAGTGACCAGCACTGCTCCAGTGAGTTTCCCCATCACACAGACTCATCAGTAGTGACGAGCACTGCACCAGCGAGTTCCTCCTGCACAGACTCATCAGTGACGCGCACTGCACCACTGAGTTCCTCCCTCGCACAGACTCATCAGCAGTGACGAGCACTGCACCAGTGAGTTTCCCCATCACACAGACTCATCAGCAGTGACGAGACCTGCTCCAGTGAGTTTCCCCATCACACAGACTCATCAGCAGTGACGAGCACTGCACCAGTGAGTTTCCCCACCACACAGACTCATCAGCAGTGACGAGCACTGCACCAGTGAGTTCCTCCATCACACAGACTCATCAGCAGTGACGAGCACTGCACCAGTGAGTTCCTCCACCACACAGACTCATCAGCAGTGACGAGCACTGCACCAGTGAGTTTCCCCATCACACAGACTCATCAGCAGTGACGAGACCTGCTCCAGTGAGTTTCCCCATCACACAGACGCATCAGCAGTGACGAGCACTGCACCAGTGAGTTCCTCCACCACACAGACTCATCAGCAGTGACGAGCACTGCACCAGTGAGTTTCCCCATCACACAGACTCATCAGCAGTGACGAGCACTGCACCAGTGAGTTTCCCCATCACACAGACTCATCAGCAGTGACGAGACCTGCTCCAGTGAGTTTCCCCATCACACAGACTCATCAGCAGTGACGAGCACTGCATCAGTGAGTTTCCCCATCACACAGACTCATCAGCAGTGACGAGACCTGCTCCAGTGAGTTTCCCCATCACACAGACTCATCAGCAGTGACGAGACCTGCTCCAGTGAGTTTCCCCATCACACAGACTCATCAGCAGTGACGAGACCTGCTCCAGCGAGTTTCCTCCACCACACAGACTCATCAGCAGTGACGAACACTGCACCAGCGAGTTTCCCCATCGCAGACTCATCAGCAGTGACGAGCACTGCACCAGCGAGTTCCTCCATCGCACAGACTCATCAGCAGTGACGAGCACTGCACCAGCGAGTTCCTCCTGCACAGACTCATCAGTGACGAGCACTGCACCAGCAAGTTTCCCCATCACACAGACTCATCATCAGTGACGAGCACTGCACCAGCGAGTTTCCCCATCACACAGACTCATCAGCAGTGACGAGCACTGCACCAGCGAGTTCCTCCTTCAGAGTCTCATCAGCAGTGATGCGCACTGCACCGGTGAGTTTCCCCATCACACAGACTCATCAGCAGTGACAAACCCTGCACCAGTGAGTTCCTCCTGCACAGACTCATCAGCAGTGACGAGCACTGCACCACTGAGTTCCTCCATCACACAGACTCATCAGCAGTGACGAGCACTGCACCAGCGAGTTCCTCCTTCAGAGTCTCATCAGCAGTGACGAGCACTGCACCGGTGAGTTTCCCCATCACACAGACTCATCAGCAGTGACGAGCACTGCACCGGTGAGTTTCCCCATCACACAGACTCATCAGCAGTGACGAGCACTGCACCAGCGAGTTTCCCCATCACACAGACTCATCAGCAGTGACGAGCACTGCACCACTGAGTTCCTCCATCACACAGACTCATCAGCAGTGACGAGCACTGTACCGGTGAGTTTCCCCATCACACAGACTCATCAGCAGTGACGAGCACTGCACCAGCGAGTTTCCCCATCACACAGACTCATCAGCAGTGACGAGCACTGCACCACTGCGTTCATCCATCCCACACTCATCAGCAGTGACGAGCACTGCACCACTGAGTTCCTCCTGCACAGACTCATCAGCAGTGACGAGACCTGCACCAGCGAGTTCCTCCACATCACAGACTCATCAGCAGTGACAAGTCCTGCATCATTGTGTTCCTCCTGCACAGTCTCATCAGCAGTGACGAGCACTACATCACTGAGTACCTCCATCACCAGTGAACATCCCATCAATACGGTTATTGAGATCTTCCACGGCCCATGAACCTGAAACGCCTTTGTCTGTGCCTGCCTTGTGCAAGACGAATCCCAGGCTGACGAGCTCCTGGGGCCACACTCCATCGGCCATGGCTCAAGCAGGAGGTGGCGTCGACGCCGGCGGGACCCAGGCGGAGGAGCCCCTGGGCGCTCTCCTGAGCGGAGTCGTGGACCTGCTGTTCGGCGAGGAGAAGGAGGCGAAGGCGGTGGCCGTGAGCGAGGAGGCGCTCAGAGGGAAGCTTTACCCAGACACCACCCTCGACGACTTCAAGGCGCTGCTGAGCAAGATGAAGGGGCTGCTCAAGGTGAGCGTCTGTCATGCAGACCTGGGGTCAATTATCACGATGAAAGATCCGTTTTGAAGATCCGACAATGGAACGGCCCTGGTATCTCTCTACCCCCACAACCATATATCCTCCATACATGGGAGGATGAATGGCTCGCCAAACTGCGAATGATGTGAGGTGCAAACCATCGGCCATATCACTGATGATTGCCCAATACAAGATGCGTATTTTGGTGGAACAAGCGGACTCCATCTAGATACCCCTCCCCCCAGATGCCGTGGATTGGCTTGCAAAAGAACACATTCCTGCGGAAGGAGTTGGTAGGGACGTTGGGTTGCTCGGTCAATGGCCAGTGTCAACGGTGGCGTGGTGTATTCCGCAAATATGCCCGACTGTGAGGGCGGGCACAAGCCGGCGTGAGTAGGTTAAACGTTGAGATTTATAAGGGCACCACGGGGTGACCAACCCCTCCCCACCCAGCCCCACCCCTCCCACCCCCCACCCAGCCCCACCCTCCCCACCCAGCCCCTCCCCACCATCCCCTCCCCACCCAGCCCCTCTCCCCCCTCCCCACCCACCCAACCCCTCCCCACCCTCCCCTCCACACCCAACCCCTCCCTCCCCACCCAGCCCCTCCCTGCACGACGGACGGACACAATAATCCCCTGTGGGCTGGTGTAACCAGGAGGTTCCTACCAGTAAAAACACATTGTAGCCTGTTGCTTTTTTCAAACGCCGACCTGTCTCGCCTTCTGACCCTCACCCTACAGTCTACTTTCATCTGATCTTCATTCCACTTTATCTTCCTGTTTCCTTCTCCCCACCAGGCAAGTAGGAGCGAGTTTGGAAGTAGCCATGGGTGCCCCTAATGAGTAGCCAAGGGGGTATATGTTGGCTAAGAATTGGGGGACACAGTTCGGTATAATGAGTGAACCCATGGTCTCAAAGGTCGCGAGTGGTTGTCTCTTTCCCGTCCCCTTGTGTTCCCAGGTCCATGCCCCCCAACCACCTTTTCCACAACGTTAGCGTTCACCTTTCCATTCCTTTTATCAAATTCTATTTATTACCTATACAGTATATTCACATTGTTTTTACTGTCCCCACGTCTCACTTTCACTCTTCCCCACACCCCTGTGGAGGGCTGCATACTATCATTTAAGTTATTTTTTTCACTTAGCTGTTTCTGCACAAACAAGTACGTTACACTTAAGGACTTTTGTGCGGGTGGCCACTGGTTTTTTTATTATAATTTTCCTCTTGTCCTCCCATAACTCACTCATAATTACTGCAAATCAATGGGTATTTATCATTGTGGAGCATGTGGCTGTATGTCATTGTGTGCATGTTACCTTCCCTATGGGGAGCGGTAGTGTAGCGGTTAGCGTGCTGCGCTATGATAAACCACGTCCCGAGTTCAATTCCCGCTCACGGCCAACACGAGTGATGATTATCTGAAATAATCCTACGCCTTGCCTAGGTCGACTCGGCCTCAAATGAGTACCGGATTGCGGTGTGTAAACATCACCATTGGGGAGACAAAGACGGCTTGGTGTGGGTGCTGGCCACCCCGCCCCCCAAACCCCCCGTGCCGGCCGTCATAGGTGCTCAACAGCACTTCCTCCAAAAGTTTGTTGGGGGGGGATATTTTTTAGTCTTTGTTATCTTCACAAAGAATAACGATGGAATACGTTATTTTTGTGAACATAGCATTATGTAGTTTTGAAGTGGTACTCTACATGCCTGGTATAGCGAATAGTGGCCAGCAGATGGCAGTGTGTCCACATAGAATGCTTTAATGTCAGACAAAACAGGTTGTAAACAAGGCAGATCCTCTTGTATTGGAGCTGCCATCACTCAACATATGCTCCTTTTGGTTGGGCACATTGTCAGAATGCCCAACTCAAGATCGGGAAACGCTCCAGGTGAGGCCAGAAGAAACGTGACAGATTGCTACACGAGCATCCTCACCAAGTGCAAACATCGACCTGGTAACATGGGAGCAGCAGCTGGCGCTTGAGTGTTCGTCTTGGAAAGCTCTTATCCACCAAGGTGTTTCAATTTGAGTCAAAGAGACACCATCAGGAGACTGACACACGGGCATGAAACTATCAGTAACGACAACACATGCTGTCACTGTAAGAAGATATGTGGTTCCAGGATTGGCCTCGTCATCCATATGTGTACCCACAAACCTTGACCACCGTCGCTGTCCATGGAGGACCTCGAGGGATCCCAGATTAAGATGATGATATGTGTATACAGAATGTACAACTGTAAATCAAGGAAACGAAATAATGATTTGATAAATTTTGATTGCGCATGTGGGAAAAAAATCACGACATTGGTTATTAACACAAAAGAAAAAGCTTCAAATGAAGATTGACAAAATAAAAACTGAGTACATGTACAGTATAGGCAAATGTTTCATGCAATGGCCCTGCTACGGAGTATGGAGAGGGAAAAGGGATTTGCATTTGGATGTTCTGCTTCATAGTGCACTGCCCTCAATTCTTGAGAAAGGTGACTTAAACCTTTTTCAAACAACAATAATACGACATTTTATCACAAAATAATGTTCATAAGGCATCGTCACAGGTTTAGGATTAAGAGCTTTTTCCATAAAGAAGAAACTGAAACATTCGCAACGAATTTCTCAGTAGCTGTGGGGTTCGTATAAGAGTGAAGATTTTCAGCACTGTACAGATTTGAAAAGAGTCCCCAAATTCATCATTAACTTTGTCTCATCACTGATTGATATTTAATAACATACATTTTGAATGTATTGCATCCAAATGCAACCACAGCTCAAATCGCTCTACAGTACAGTTGATATATGTATTGTTTATGGAGAAAGAGATAATTATAAGCAGAGGAGAAGAGGAAGTTAACGAGTTGTCTAGAGACGGGAAGGTTTCGACAGCCTTTATGGCTGGGAGAAAGAGTTCCAGACTTAAGGGGCATTATAGGAGAACGAGCAACCTCCCACTGAGTGAAGGTTAAATGGGGACTTCGACAAAAAGCCGTGGTTTTCTAAGTGTCGAGTGCGTGGAGGGGAGTACAGTGAGATAATATGGGAGATGTAAGCAAGTGCAAGTCTGTAGGGAATCTTGAAGATAGTGAATGCAATCTTAAAATGGATCCCAACTTGTATTAGGAACCAATTGGGGGATTGTAATATTGGTGTAATGTCACAAAACACTAATATGTCAGGCAATGGTCCTTATTTAAAATATACGACTCAGGACAGATTTTGTCTTGTATGAACAATGTAGATGTATAAGGTTCCCTTAATGGATCTCAGATCACCATGCATGTAAAGGAGGAAATAAGTGAGAAGTGACCAGTGAGAAAAATACGAAAGCGATAAGATTGAGAACTAGCGAGAGAAGGCGTGTTCAAAGAGGTGGTGGGGTCTTCAACCGGGACTTAAAAGTCTCCATCGACTGCCATTTTCTAACCTTCAAGGGCCAGGGAATTGCAGAGCCTGGGCGTCGTGCAGTCAAAGCTTGGTGGTGACCCCATGTTCGAAGCCTGAAGTGCGGTCACGCTGAGTATGGCACGCTCGATAGATCTCAGAGATCTCAGTGGAGTGTACCTGAATCAGCTCCTGGGTGTATGGTGGAGCAAGCTAATTTTAAACCTTAAACACATGGAGGAGAATCAGTGGACACCCTCCATGTGGGTGTGCACTGAAAGCCAATGCAGAGACATGAGCACAGGTGAGATATGATCCTGAAGAGGAATGAGAGTGAGCACCCTAGCAGCTGCATGTTGGACAAACTGCAGTCTACAAGGAGGGTACTCGGGGCTCCGGAGAGCAAGGCATCGCAATGGTCAAGATGTAAAAAAACGAGCGCATGACCCAGTCTCTCGTCATTTTGAGAACAAAGAATGTTGTGCTGCAGGGCAAAATTCCTTCAATTAAAGAGCAATGTCCTCACAACTTTATCATGTGACTGGAAGGATAGATACTGTTCCAAGATAAAACTGAGCTTTCTAACCTCGTGTGTTAGGCAGATGCTCCGACTGTCTATTAATCACCAGGGCCAACCTTGGATAGCTGGTGAGGAGGAGGGATGAGAAAAATATCATTTTTATCACTGTTGAGTTGTACAATCCAAGATTGTACAAGCAAGAGTGATTAAAAAGCACAAGCTGAGGACATAGTTCGATCCTAGTTGAACATAGATTTGTGTGTCATTCACCTAGCAACAGTATAGACCTTGGTGTTGGAGCAGAGCTCCAAGCGGGGGCATGTGGACACTGAAGTGGGACCGAACACATTTCCTAGAAGAACGCCATATACAACCAGACGATCAGAAGATATAAAACTTCCCACAGTGATGTGTTGGACACGGTTTTCAAGGTAGGAGTGGAACCATTGCAATGTGGTGCCCGAGACTCCCATCACGAGTTCCAATTTCTCGAGTAAAATTCTACGATAAATTGTATCAAAAGCCGCTGCACTAAGATTAAGGGACAGAGAATGCTTGGACATCCTTTGTCTGCACATGTGAGCAAATCAACCATTGTAATTGTCTTATTGCTGCCACCTTTATTCAACATTCATCTTCCCTTCCGTAAATCAATACCAATGCCCTACTCCCTAATCACCGTACACCTCCCCCCTCGCCCCTGTCTTGCGGTCCAGGCGATGGCAACGGCCGACATGGACAGCACACAGTTGGAGACATTCCTGGCGGCGCAGGTGCGCAAGCCGGGTGGCGTGACAGCCGAGCAGGCGGCCATATTGGCGCGCTTCTGGAAGAGCCACCGGGGCCGTGTGCGAGAGAGTTTGGTCGCCCGCTGTCGCTGGGAGCCGACGCTGCACAGCGTGAACTGGCGCGTGGACGTGCCGGCAGCCAATGGGCACAGTGGCGACGAAAGCGGAGCTCCCATCGCCTTCCTGGAGCTCGACATTGGCCATGAAGGACAGGTGTGTGACTGATTCCACTTGCTTTCAGTCGTAGCCCTTCATAATAGATTTTTGGGTCAGGCCACATAATGACCTGGTTAAATTTGTGTCATAAAGACCCTCTACCACCCGACTGAGCCTAATAATTGAAATTGTCACGTGGTGTGCAACCTTTAATGCGCCATTTAATTATAATTGTTTCAGTTAATAGGTATCTTATTGATACAATGTAGCAATAGAGTATCTGATTACTAAATTTAGTTGTGGGAATTAAAACAGTGATAGTCTGTGCGTTCAGTGCTTCTATATGTGACAATTTAATTTGTTTAGCTGTGTTTGGGGGTGTGGGGCCTTAACAAAAGAATTTGTCAGATCCTTGTGGCCTAACCCATATAACAATCATGAATAATAAAATTGGCTGCCAAAACCTACGTGTCACGTTAATAGTTGCCCTTGCAGTTCATGTGGTTGAGATTCAGTTGGCAGTTGCATAAAACATCTTAAGGAAACATTTGTCTTTATTGAAGCTGATGTAGACGAGTTGAGGGATTTTTGCACTTCGGCTGTTTAATGCAAATAACAACCCCAGGCCTTAAGATGCCCCCAATAGCATTCCGATTACCAATTTAATACAATTAAATGTATAAGTGTTATTCATTAGGTTCAAATGGATTGAAAAAATAATTAGCACAGGTAAAAATGTATGTTTTAAGTAACCCATTCAATACCAGGATGAAGATGTGAATGCCCTTTACTTATTTTCAAATAGGCAAACTTCCCAACTGTAATTAACATTGGCTCTAAATCGGAAGAGTACTGTGGAAACAATGTGTAACTCGCACATACCGATGCCCTGTAGACTGTCGAGGATAAACAATTCCAATGTGGAAAATTAGTTTTTCCTCAACCTGTGTAACTAAAATAGAGACCTTGTTATTCCAAAGAGTTGACATTTTTCCTACACCTTATTGGAAGTGCATTGAATGTCGAGTAATGCTCGTTACTACCAATTTGACTTGCAGTCTATAATAATGATGTTATTTTCATCGAGTACACGTCACACAACCCGCTACTCCTGACTGCAGTTATCTGGCTCGATCACCTGAACATGAAATCGTAGTTGTTGCTCTGCATCCACATCAGATATGCGAAGGAACGAAGAAGACTTGACTGCCAGTGTCTCAAACACGCAACTAATTAAAATATAATTTGAAGCATTGGATTGACCATTCGAGATGATAATGATTGTTGTATTGATAAATACATTTAATGTTTATTATGACAAAAAAGTGAATTTGCACACCTTTTGGTGAGGTGTGCGCCCATTCAACGGGCTGGTAGATTCTAGAGTGGTAAAGTGGTGCAGCATGATTGTCATTGATAACAACGGCTCTCTTGTTGGGTTACCTGTCCTCCAGGTAATGCTCACTAGGACGGCAAAGAACATTTGCAATTAGTAAATATTGCCTTTAAAATAAATGCAATGTCCTTTAGGCTTGCAAGGCCATAACCACTGTGTTAGGATAGCTCGTGTACCCAGACATTAATAAAATACCAACATCTGTATGTATATATGTTGAACTTCTTTTGCACCGTACGTAGCCACCCGTGCTAATCGAAGGTGCGGCGCAGTCGTACTCATGTACTCGTGCTGCTGGTGATCGTGGCGCTCCTGCTGGTACTGAAATTAATCTACTAGATCTAAATTGCGGCTGCTGTGCTATTATAACTAAAGTTCCAGCTGCTGATGGTACTTCAGCTGGTGCTGCTGCTGGTGCTGCTTTTGCTAATGTTGTTATGGTAATACTTTTAGAAGTGTTTTAATAATGTTTAAACTGATTATTACTTTGCATGTTTAATATCACCAGTTATTTGTAATCATTAATCCATCTGCTGGTGAGAGTTACTTGTCAGGATAGTTTTGTGTTTAATCACTGACAAGTAATGTAATGTAACACCATAGATGCCTTATCTAATTAAGGGCTTTTTATTCTGGGTGAATGGGAAGTATGCGATATACATTTGCATAGCTTTCTTCCATGTAATTTTAATATAACATTTTTGCCATGAGCTACAGAATAGCAAACATATTAGAGGCCAACCAACCATGGGTGCAAGCCAGGTTGAGGATGGTTTCCTCTACCATCGGGCACATACATAAGATTTATCAGATTATGCAAAAGACCAATGGATTTCAATCCCTCAGTTGATTGACCACGGATAATGATGATGGGAGGTGCAATGCAACAAATGTTTATGGCACAACAGAAACATGAACGGTTCAGATAACAATATGATGATCAAAACCAGCCTTGCATATCTGTGATCCTTTATAAAATAATTGCAATGGTTCTCATCGTGTGAGATTTAATGTTCGCATGGTACTTTATTCCTATTGAATAGGGGTAGCATTTTCAGCCAACACGCATTCATCTGTTATTTTAAATTAAGGGGTATTCCCACGGCATATAATTGAACTTGTCTGGTGTCCATGGATACATTTACCCAATTATGTGTTTTTCTTTGTGGTAATGAATAAAGTATGTTTACTGACAGCAAGGCAACGCAATTCTTTTTGCTATTTTAACTCCGTTAATTGGGTGACTCTTATTTTGATGGGTCCTTAAACTGCAGCATCGTGTTCTGGGATTTTGTCTATCGGAGAAACCCACAACACTGAACAGTCCACCCAGCACACGATGCCTTTGATGTGTATATCAGGGTATGCAGGCTTATTTAAACAACGTTAAAAGAATTATATAAATAGGACTAGATAGTATGCAAGTGCTTGGATATCTAATATGGTGTTACCGCAGGAAATGCTGACATGTATATTAGAAAGCAGGCCACTGATCAGCTCACTGTTTTCCCATTCGCTTCAACGGCCTGTTGTTGTCCTGTATTTAGAACAGGCTCATTCTGAATAATAGTATTTTTAATGGTCAATTGTGTAACCATTGTTTACTCCATATGAGTGGTAAAGGTGTGGTGAACGTTTTCTCCACCTACAGTAATTCTGACAAGTTATTTTTTCAGAATATAATTATGTGACCATCTGTTTAAGTGGTAGCTGCGGTGGTGAGATGTCAATTATCTCGCATGTTATGCAGGAGGTTGTGGGTTTGATCCTGGCCATGTATATTTGGAGTTTGCATGTCTCTCTCCCTGTTGTCTCGTGGATTTTTCCCCGGGTCCTCCGTTTTTTCCCTTCACATTTAGACTCAACATGCGTTTAGAGTATTTGGCTGCTATACACTTCCACATGATAGGCCACTTCGTTGAGCTATCATTCGTGACCAGGTCGCTTAATAATAATAATAGTACAATTTGTAACGCGCGCAAATTTGCAGACGTAGTGGCCGCAACTCAGAGGCGCGGAGCCAAGCTCAGAGTCGCTCAAAAGCATGATTGTAGAGGTGAGTTTTTAAGTGTCTCTTGAAGGAGGCGATTGAGGTGATGCTGCGAATGTGCAGAGGGATATCGTTCCAGACTGTTGGGGCTGCCACCGAGAAGCGGCGCGTAGACATGACCATCCTGGATCTTGGTATTGAGAGGAGGTCGTGAGTCGCGCTGCGCAGGCATCTGCCGTGTGCTGAGCTGCAAGTTGTCAGTAATAAAGAAAGATACGGCGGGCAGGCGGATATGAAGGCATTGTGGCAGAGGCAGGCGGTCTTGTATGTGACCCTACTGGCAATGGGGAGCCAGTTGAGAGCGCGGAGACGAGCTAGTGAGTCGAGGCGGGGATGAGTGTGGGCAATGACGACGCGTGCTAGGTTATTTTGTAGTCTTTGAAGCTTCCTTAGGTTGCCAGCGGAGGTCCGGACAAGGACGGAGTTACAATAGTCAAGGCGAGACCCAACTATGCAACATGCCAAAGTGTTGGCAATTTCAGTAGAGATGAGAGGACGTATGTGTCTAAGAGCCTTCAGGTGAAAGTTACATGAGCTGATGATATGGTTGGTTTGACGGTCGAAGGATAAAGTTGAATCTAGGATGACACCGAGGTAGCTGAAGTGGTTGGTGAACTTGATGCTATGACCAAAGATGTGTATGTGTGTGGGGAGTTCTGCTGAATTGAGACGTTGCTTGGTACCTAACATGATGGCCACTGACTTTTTCGGATTAAGGGCTAGGTTGTGTGCAGTGAACCATTGTTGCACGGCGGTGGTACATTCCGAGAGCCTCTCGAATCCAGATGCATTGCTAGAATCGATGGCGGTGAATAGAATCGTGTCATCCGCGTATGAGTGATGCTTAACACCGAAGCTTGCAATGAGTCGGCCGATCGGGGAAGTGTAGGCTGTGAAGAGCAGGGGACCTAGAACAGAGCCCTGGGGAACCCCGCATAATGCTCTTGTTTCAGGCGATGTGGACATGCCCACCCTGACTGAGGATTGCCGGTCAGAAAGGTACGAAGCTATCCACTTGAGTGCTGAGCCGCATATACCGAAGTCGGATTTCAGGAGGGAAGTAAGGAGCGAATGGTTGATGGTGTCGAAGGCTGACGAAATGTCCAGACTTACAAGTGCAACAGTTGAGCCGGAATCAACGATCGTTAAAATGTCATCGAGCACCCTAGTGAGTGCTGTTTCTGTGGAATAGTTTTGACGGTAAGCTGACTGGAAGTTGCAGTAGTTTGCGGAGGAGGTGACGTGTGGTGACGTGTGGTTGTAGCTGGGCGAGGGCTAGTCGTTCAAGGAGTTTAGAGAGGTTCGAGAGGTTAGTGATGGGACGATAACTAGATGGGTCATCCGGATCTAGATTTGGTTTCTTTAACAAGGGAGAAACCAGGCCAGATTTGAGGTTGGACGGAAAACACCCCGAAGAGAAGGAGGCATTTGCGATGTTCCTGATCATGATGGCGAGTTCCGGAGCACATTGCTTGAACAAGGAACCTGGGAGCACGTCGAGTGGAGATGACTTCAAAGGAAGTGATTCAATTAAAGCGAAAACGTCTTTTGTAGACACAGGCTTTAGCATAGTTAGAAGAGTGTCTGGGTTAGTGCTTACAATTTTAGGTACCATGAGCGGGGTACAATGGTGCAATGTGTCAGTAGACGTGCACGAGTTTGCGACGGCGATTAGCTTGTTGTTGAAGTAAGTATTAAAAGAGGTGGCAAGTTTCAGTGAGGCAAGGGGATCGCTAAGGTGAGGGACCATGGTGCTACCAGGATGGAGAAGATCTTTGAGCTATATAGTTCAGTAGTAAAATAAAAAAGTTGTAAAGATAGTTGTAAGTAGAATTATCAACTGTTACAAATTACCACAAGAACAACAGATTCCACAACAACAATGTTGCCACAACTCTACTATGATCTGTGCGATTATGGTAGCAATACGTGTTTCATTAAAAATAAGCCATCTGTAACACTTCCCAACCTAGGTCATGTGGCTATTAGGAATTTTCCTAATTGAAAACTGGCCAAATTGATTAAAGGGTTTCCCATAACTTTAAAACACAAACCAGACCAAATAGACGCTTTCCAAATAAGCAAATCAATGTTTCCATGATGACTGCTTGTTGGCTTCCATACTGCCATTTAAATACTTCCAAAGACAGATGCGTGTTGGCAAGTGTTACGATGATTAAAAAATGTAAAGTCGTATTTTGTTTTTGAAAAGTAAACCGCAAGCATTCTCTGGTTAACAAACATCAAAACATGTTTCATTGTAACATTTGCCTCTGGCTTTAGAATGGAGATTATGGCGTTTGTTTTCCCGCAAAGGATATGGGCAGGATGCTGTTTGCATGCTGCTCATGTGCTTTAGTTTCCTGACCGACCGCAAGTGCGTGTGCGCTCGTGTTGCACGTGACAAACCAAATTGGATTTGCACACCACGGCACTGGGTAAGGTCACATTTTTGAATGATGGGTGGACAAAAATTAAGGCGCCACCTTCCCTGTTTGTTCAAATGTCCTTTACAGTTTATCTTTTGTGTTTTGTGGTGTCAATGATAAAGCTTCAAACTGTGAATGTAAACAAACGCTGCTTTCCCTCCGATAAAGCAGTGCAACCCAGCCCCCTTGTTACTGCTATAACAAAAAAAAACAGTGCTCAAAATGACATTAATTGTCTTTAAAATACACATTTCGGTGTGTCTCACAACTTATTTAAAAAATTAATATATTGCAATTTGAAAGCCAACCCTTAAGTTCATTTGCAGAAGGATAAGCAAAGCAGACAGTTTGTGTGGGATATATGACAACATGATGTACCTATCAGAGGAAGCACATTCTGTTGTCTCATGAGTATAGTTTCACAATGATGTGTTCCACCGTGCATTCAAAAACGTGAACTTTAAAATGTTACTGATGACTAAGTTCAGCTCTGACGATACCGACGTTCGTATTCGTGTCTTGTGTGTACTTGTTCGCGCTCAAGGGTTTATGAAGAGCTGCCACGTTCAGAAAACGTAGATTGCTGCCCTCACGGATTCGACAACAATGATCAGCTGATGGGGCTTCGCGATACTATATACATGTACAGCGCAGTCCTTTGTCAATTCACTTACAGTTTGAGGTTTTCCCAGGCCGTGTCAGTTACGGGGTTTGATTAACTATATGTGACCACGCAGGTCAGGGGGACCAAAACTCGTTCAGCTATCGATCGCTTGCCACTGATATGTTAGCCATGACGCAAACTCAAGTCGCCCGTTCACAACACACTGCACTATAACTTCTCAGCAGCAGCAGCAGCATACAGTATTTATACTGAAAATTGTATCCAAAAACTTCCCTTGCCATGAACTATTTCTTTTACTCTTTGGTTCTTTCGGTAATGTCACGTAAATAGAAGAATAATAGATCACGACGTTTCGATCGCACGTAGGCCTACTTCAGCAGTTTGTTCTTGCTGTGGTTGTCCCACCTGATGACGATTGCTCGTGTTACGATCGAAACGTCGTGATCTATTATTTTTCTACCTACGTGACTTTACCGAAAGAACCAAAGAATAATGATTCCTGCAGTCACGAAAGCTTCAAATTAAGATGATATTTCTTTTTTTTAGATGGTAGCTTGTAAAAATCTTGAAGTTCCATAAATAAGCTGTCAAAATGTACAGTGGGTGGGAACATTTATTTGGTATGTTTCCATAACCAGGCCCAGGGCATCTGGTTGTTAGTGTAATGATGGCTCACATTTCATAGGCACAGACACATAATAATTGCGATAGCTTTGGTACATACTGTTTTCACTAAATCTATTTGAATTTGCACAAGCGTTATTTCCAGACTTAAAAAAAAATCTGAATCACACTGCAACACAATAACTGCCACTTACCACACTCAACATAATGCAACGTAGACTTTTTTTTACCCCTGTATCCTGTTTAATCTTGCACTTTACTCATTCCATATCTGATCCTCCATTGGTGAGATGAAAATGGTTAATGTCGTAATCTATCAAACAATTCGCATTTCTGCAAAGTGCACCACCAGATGCCTTTTCACTTTTACAGCCGTATTGTCGACAGCCAACATAAGTGTGACCCAGGCCATGTGCGCGCTTGCAGTATTCACCGCTTTAACGCCGCTTTGTCGTAAGTGCTGCTCTGTCTGTATGTGTATCCTGCCACCAGTCAGCCACTGTACAGCCAGAAATAATATCCACTATACGCATATATAAATGGTTATTTTTTACCTCTTTTTGGTTCTTTTAAGAAATTTCAATTGCAATTAATTCCATTCGGTTTTTAACACCAGACTTACATTTTAATGCGTTTCCTTTGAACAAAAACATGGATGAAGGCCGTGTCAGATGGCTTTAAGAGCCTCCCTTTGCACTATTTTTAGTTCACGTGTAAAAAGCTGTGCTCAGGGCTGCATTTGGAAAGCTGACACACCACTCTGAATTGAGCGGTATGCCTCGTGTTTACTTTAGTCTCTCAATGTAGATGCTGCCTCTTTTTTTTTGCAACTTGGGCAGCTGTAGTCTAAAATAAGGACAGCATATTACAAGTGTGCATATTTAGTAACCATTTAAAGTGCAGCAAATACGTGTAGTAAATATAAGTTGTGTCTGTACAATTTGCATGGCGAATTGACATTTGCACTACAGTGTACGAGATGATCGACCGTTGTTAGTGTAATATTCCGTCGAATGCGATACAAATGCTGTCTTTCTTGTTTCTCTTAATTGGACTGACCTCACAATGTAACACTGCACTGTGATGTTATCAAGCATAACACTGCAGTTTGTCAAATACATTACCCTTGTTATAATCATGCTATTAAACATAATCTATGCCTCGATTTTCCTGGCTGGCTGTTGCCTGGGTTGCACTCTACCCAAACAAAATAACTGTTTTGTTTGTGGCTGTGGGCCGTTGCCACTGAAACTAACTGGGTAACTGGCTGAATCGGATTTTCCATGGAACAAATACAAATTAAATTGGCGGAAGAAGATCGGAAGACATACAATAGTGACACCTAAGAGGTCGGAGTAATGAATACAGAATCTGACACAGTTCATTTAAAATTTCTTTAACATTTAATATTTTATATTCATCTAATTTGTTTACCAAAATATTCTTTAATTTCTGGAGAATATATATTTTAAAACCTCAATGCATATTATGGCATTTTACTATGTGAAAAAGCATATTACCTTTTTGCTCTGAGTACAGGATTATGAGAAGAGTATGAAATGACAAGTCTCTTATTTTCCATTCCAGAGCAGGGAATTTCCTTGTAGGAGTTATAATAATGACATATAATGGGAATATAATGATAATATTGCATTATACGATACATTTCCCCAGTAGTTGGTGGTGCAAGTTGTCTTGTCGTTGAAATTTCACGCATAAGTTTTTATCAGCGAGGATTTGTCAATTGTTACTGTGGTATGCGCCATGAACCTGGCGACTTGAGTTCAATTCCCCCGGCCACGAGTAATGTCAGTAACGAATGATATCCAGACCGGTCCTGCTCTCCTTTCCCTTCCTCAACCCATACTGACCAACATTGTAAAGTACCGTGAACAAAAAAAACTACCGGTAACTAACGGTCCATTGGTGGATTGAGAATGACCGGAAATTTTGTCTTTTTTTTTTCAACCCACCATGTTGTTTGTGTGCGCATGTGTATGTGCCTTGTATTCACTGTCGTGATGTCCGTGTGCGGCAGGAGCCCGAGCGTTTGTCCTTGGAGCTGGACGAGGCTGGCATTGCAAAAATCATGAAGAGTGTCACTGCCATTGAGCAAAGAATTGCCAAACTTGGCCAGTGAGGCTGCTCTCAACCCTCTGGTCATCAAGGATCAAGGCCACCGTGGACAAACCCAAGGCACTGCAGTTGGTAGGGACCACAGAGGGATCTGTCTGCTCGTGATTTGCATTTTACCCGCACATGTGCTCCAGCCAATATTCATGCAACAATCTCCATTTTGTTAAAAAGACGTTTTTTTTACTTGATCTGTTGAACCTATTTGCAGTGAGCAGGCTAAGAAATCCCCCAAGCCCTGGTGGAGTTTAATCAATTTAGTTTCAGGTACAGTCCGCCTTAAATTACACGTGGGAAATTGCCTGAAGCTTTGGCTCAATGGAAGCAAACCTTAGTTGTTTATGTTTCTCATTATAAACGAAAAACTTGCAGCTTAATTAAAACAGCTTTCACATCTTGGGCTGTTCTATGAATCTCTACATATTGCTAACTTAATTACTTGATTTCATGATATTTAACGAAGAGACTTACCATACAATTACAAAACTATTACCGCAGAAAGAATATAAATGGCTTTTATGCACCGTATATGGAGCATGTATTAGCGGGATTAATTGGAAGATTCCAATCAAGCCCGTGTGCCACATTTGTATGATTGAGTACTCTTGAAGATTCTACAGTTATGTAAATATAATCTGTGCTGTATTGCTTTGATTTTTTTCTTTTTACTAATCTTAGATGGTCGTCTCGTCATCTTACAAGCAAATTAACAACTTGAATGGGAAATGCAGAGCGTGAATGTCGGATGATTATGCATTACTATACACGAAACGGAAACATCAAAAGCTGCACTCATTCATAATTGTGAGGAGGTTATCGATTATCCTTGAAACATTTTCAGGTTTAAGAAAAATGTGAACCTGAGTCATACAACACGTAAAAGGGTTTTATGATGGGTGAATAATGTTGATCGCTTACATTATAGCAGTTTTTTGCAATGTTGGCAAATTTGGAATTATTATTTCTGTCTCGTAAAAACCAACGTGACTCACCGCGATGTGTTTGAATGACGCAAATAATTTTTGTACATTTTTCTCTTGGTTTGTGAATATTTCACTCCATTTGCCAGGTAAAAAAATACATCGATGGCTTGGGCATATAAAATGTGTTTTAAATATTCAAAATAAAGGTTTTTGGGTTAGATCGTGTTATTATAAATGTGTCGCAACCCTCCACCACCCGACACGGCCAATCAGTAAAAAATGTGTCACGTTAACAAAACGCCAATTAGTTACTTCTTCAGCACACCGGTGTGTTTGAAGAGTGAATGAACAACATTTATAATTTGAGCACGACGTTTCGCTAGTAATTACATCCAGCATCTTCGGGCAAATCTAACTGTTGTGGATTCAATCTTCAAACACACCGGTGAGCTGAACAAGTAACTAATTGGCATTTTGTTAACGTGACACATTTTTTACTGATTGGCCGTGTCGGGTGGTGGAGGATTGCGACACATTTATAATAACGCAATCTAACCCAAAAACATTTTTTATGAAAAATACTGGTCGCGAAAGCCTACGTGTTAAAGTGTTTTAAATAATTACATACTTATTTGCACTTTGTTGCTGTTAGCACATGGTGTATGGCACAAAATCATTACTCAGACTTTTAAATTATTCAGTACTCTGTGGAATTTGATCTCGCATTTCTTTGACCAAATATTAAATTATACATTTGGAGTATTTCTTTTTATCATTGATAGTTTCTCATTGTACGTTGAAAAACGTAAGAAAAAACTATTTGTTTGTGTCTCTTATTGAACCAATAAAACCAAATTCGTGCATGTACACATCAAATCGAATGTAATTCCGGAAAATCTATTAAAAGCTGGACCAAGTCACCCAGGTCTCCCTTGGAAATGAGATTTATCCTGGTCTCTGTGGTTCTCTCCGGATTAAACAATAAACTTGAACTTGTCACAGGAACTCCACATGGGACATATTCTGCTGTTCAAACCCCTAACAAGCCACCATTCATCCTAATTAGAGGCAATGCCACTTGTTGTGCATGCTGTGAGGAGGATCAAAGGGCTGTAATTAATTCAGCACTATACACCGCAAGACTAAGTCAAGTTTCCCTTGAGCAATCCCATTGGTGCTCTAGCTAAGCACAAAACTGAACTTAAAATGTTAATTGAAATAATAGTATTTTTTGATATCCCGTTTCACGAGACAAGAGACACGATGAGTTTTTTCATAAAATCTCGCGGTCGGGGATATATGCCATTGAACCAGCTGAGAAAACAGTAACGCATGTGCTAATATGCAATTGACTATCCTGGTATTTGAGTTTTCACCTGGTTAATCAAAATACACTTGAACCTTAAGCTTATCAGAAGAGATTCAACATTGTTTACAGTTTCATAAAAATGTTGTTCCTCTTAACATTAAACCAAATTACAAATATTTAAATTAACATAACAAGTCAAACCTTTTCGCAGTTCCCTAAGTGAGAATGTAGCAGAACAATTTCTGTCTTATCGAGACGTACGAATGTAACAATTTGGATCAAACATATGATTTGTCGTGATGCCTTTCAAAGGTCTTCAAATTGATTGGGTGCAGTGTGATGGCAGCAAAAAAGCTCTCGGGGCAGAATTCATTCCTCTGACATGACGCGTCACCTGTAACCCCCCCGCCGCCGCCACACGACACCAGCTGGCGAGCACCACGGCGGTGTCTGCGTGGGAAGGTTTTCACGGTTGATTGTTGCCGTGCGCTGATCCCTGCTGTCCGCTCAGCCCCTGGCGCTTGCGCCTCATTAGCTCGTAGCTGCGGCTCATTGCGTCCATCTCGAATGCGGCCACGCGTTATTGGGCGCCTCGGTGTTCCCAGCAACGTGGACCCGAGCACCATTATCGCGCCGCCCTTTGCTCGGAGATGCGACGACGATATCAGTGCCACCAGTCCAGAATGTGCAGCAGATGTTGTTACCATAACGTGTTAAGTAGAGCCAAATGTGAGAACTGATCTAAAAGTGCTGCTTATACGAATTAACGTAATGATGATAAATGGTTGTTTTGAAGCCGCTTTACATTTGATGACTGTAGAGCAAAAGGCTTAATTTCAGCCGGTGGGTGGGGAACTATCCAGATCAGCGACCTGTAAAATATTTCCATACCCCACACACCACATCCAGTACGTATGTATGTTTAACTTTTCGCACCGTACGTAGCCAACCGTGCTAACACTATGGCTGTGGCTACTTGACCCGTACCTACCAGAGAACTGAAAAACATTCGGTGACAAATGAAGCTCTTAGTGGCAGCAAAAGAAAATGAGCAAGAATCGTTATATTTTTTTGTGGCAAGCATATAAAATACGTTTAGCATTTCACGTGAAAACTGCTTGTCGAGCCCTGATAATTTGTTCATAAATACAAGAGAGCTTTCATAGCCGCAGTTGGCACATGTTACGTGGAGTATGGAACATTGAACGCTCGCAAACCGCCCAGACTTTTAAGAAACAAATATGGAAACGAGGCACAGGCTGCTGCCTGTATGTGCTCGTGCGGTGGGTCGCATTTAAGACAACTTCGTCTTGAGCGTTTCGATTTACCATCGCATCCTGTTACATCAGCCAAACCGTGTTGTGTTTGGCCCCTTGGCATGGGCTGATTGACACATACATGGTATCCGGGCAATTTTTTTGCGTTTAAGTCACCAGATTCCGAGCGCTCAACATTCATTCATGGTGTAAATATTGTGGAGATCCTGTATATCCATATTTTGGCTCGTAGAATGTGTGCTCCAGGACACTCGTGGTCCCCGTTGTTGCGTGTCATATAATACGCGCAAACTTAGTATCGCGTAGAATGCCCAACTAAAGCCTCGAAGAAAATTCCCAGATAAATGTATGAATTTGTTTTCGCTGCGGTGACTTACAATATACCATCATTGCCATGCTATTTTTTAGTTTTAAACTAGTAAATGTTAGCGGGCTTTGTTCACGTTCTTTCTTCTTTATTGTCACACTCCACGGGAGGTGGATTACTCGGTTCCCTTATAATGGTGGAGGTCGTATATTTTGAACGTGTTAGCATGAGACTTGTAGACGTGAACATCATCAGGCTGATCCTGACATCGGTTCGAGTGAAACAAATCAACCTTCTTTGTCAAACAAGATTTTAACGTTTTGGTTTTTAAATGTTTCTAATTATAAGCATCGACTCAGTTATTTGCTAACTTCCAGCTTTCTATCCGTTTTAGAACATCTTCAGAATGTGGTTGCAGTCAAGGCCATCTATGTGTATGAACTCGAGTGTGTCTGCACCACATGCTGATTGTGTCTATACGATTACAAATGTATCTATACAGGAAGACTCTTGACAGTGTTTGCCCATGTGAAAGATCTAAATGCAATTTGGATTATATAAAGCATTCCAAACGTGACGGCTTCTCAAGGCGCTGTACAAATAGGGAGGTATTTGCATTAAGAGGGCACTTAACCATACTATTTTAGAAGGGAGGTAGAGAATGCTACTCGATAGAAAAATGAGATGAACACTATTATTCATAAAGAAGGAACAGTCATTGGAAGGGGATGAAAGTCTCAATCTCGGACTTAAACAGAGGAAGGGAAGGCTGCACATTTACAATACCCACCAAAATGCAATGTAAGATACGAGTTTGGGCATTACTATGCTTGGACATTTGAGTGAACGTGAATAATTTCCTTACCGTTCCACAAAACCAGAGCACGTTCGTTATGATTCCAGTCTCAACACTGGAGAAACGTCGGAATTTATTGCAGATGTGAGTTTCAGCAATTTGTCTAAAGCATTATTGCACGCTGCAGGAAATCATGCAAATTACCACCACCTGACCTTTCCACCTTGTAATTCATTATTCAGATGCCCTTTGTATAAAATGAAGGTTAAAGATCATTGACATTCAAACAATATGCATTTTGTTTTGGTATTCTTCTTTCGTATGGCTGCTGTTGTAGATTCAGAGCAACAACTCCAAGTTCACATTCAGGTGGTCAAGCCAGATAACTGCGTCAGGAGCAGCGGAGTGTATCGCTGTGTACTTGTGGATCGTTCTAGATGCTTTACGGTCTGTTCTCGATGGCCACAGTTGCATCAGGTATCCGCATCTGACCATCATTTGTGCAGATGCGGTTGAGAGTGGACCATGAGCTTCATGGAAGATCAAACCCAGGCATCTTCTGCGTTGCGTCTTTCACAGGTGTTTGCTTCTTCTTGGTTCTTTCGGTAAAGTCACGTAGAAGGGAAGTAATAAAATAATAAAAATAAAACAAAATAATTCTCACGACGTCTCGGCCACAACTGTCTCCCCGACAGACCTGGTCTTCACCTGAGGACGGCTGCTTGCGTTGTGGCCGAAACGTCGTGAGAATTATTTTAATATGTTTTATTTTTATTATTTTATTACTTCCCTTCTACGTGACTTTACCGAAAGAACCAAGAAGATGAATCCCTGCAGTCACGAAAGCTTCAAATCGAAATTTAGGTGTTTGCTTGTAAATGATTTTGAACTCCATTCAGCTCTCCGAGCTTCATCAGGGTTGAACTCGCATTGTTGAATGTTAAGTTCATGGTTCCAAAGGTGCTTGCGTGACTTCAAGCAATGACGAGGAACGTATTGAGGTCTTGATGAATGGGAAGGCGACTTTGTTTTCTCGATTCGCAGGACTTCCCAGAGGGTTGCGGCGGACGGGTACGGGAAACATTTGTGACAGCACGGGCAGCCAGGGTGTTGGGGTCGACTTGAGGGTTCTAGTGATACACCACATTGCAGTGTTCAGTTGGACATCAACAAGTCGAGTGTGACTACTTCAGGTCCATACTGGTGCACTGTAGTCAGCTACAGAGTACACAAGGGCCATTGTTGATGTCCATAGCACTGGGTGCTGATGCTCCCCAGCTTGTGCTTGCCAGTTTCTGGACCAGGTTGACCCTTGATTTGGCCTTGGCAGCTACCTTTTTCAGGTGGTCGTGGAAGGTACTGTGTCCGGCTTTGCTCCGAAGTTGTTTGGAGTAGGGTGGTATCACATATTTTTGCCGCAGAAGATCACTTTCAGAGTGTGCTTGGCGCTCCTATTATCAATATGAAATGCAGTAACTGTTGTTTTGTGGGGATTTGGCTTGAGTCTCCATTTCTAGAAATACTCCCCCATGGTGTTTAGGTCTTGGTTCAGAGTGGATTCGATGTTTTTTTTTAAGTGGCTGCTTGTGTTGACAGGGCAAGGTCATCTGCATATACAAATTTGTGTGACCCGATTGATGTTACGTCGCTCGTATAGGCATTGAAGCGTGTTGGTGTGAGTATTGAACCGGGGAGCTGGATGTGTTGCTCATATAGACACACAGTCGCCTGTTGCTCAGCATCATCCACATCAGGCGTATTGTTTTGAAGCAGGGAAGGGTTCTTGCGAGCATCAACATCAATGCCTTAATCCAGACTGTGTCATAGGCTGATGACAAGTACACAAGGGCTGCGTCGGTCTTGGATTTATTCTGGAATCTGGCCTCGATGTATGTCGAAAGGGCCTAAAACTTGGTCACAGCAACTGCATCCAGGCCGGAATCCCGCTTGTTCTTCAGACTCGACGAGGGGGCTGATTCTCCGGGGGATGATGCATTCCAGGAGTGTATAGGTCGTGCACAGGAATGATATCAACCTATAACTTCCCGGGTCGTCGGTTGGCTTGCCCGTTTTAGGTATGGAAATGACCATCGCCTCCCACCATGCTTTTCATGGTTGTTGTGGACAGTTTTGCCAGCCATTGGAGTCCCCTAAGGCCTAAGTGATGAAGAATTCTGGGGGGATACCATCTCTGGTAGTGTTCTACAATGATCCCAAACTTGACAATGTTCATAAAAATGTTAATTGGGGGGG